GGAGGGGGAGGAGGAGAAGGAGATGGAGGGGAAGGTGGAGGTGGAGGAGAAGGAGAAGGAGGTGATGGCACAGGAGATGATGGAGGAGGAGGAGGAGGAGGCCTTGGAGGAGGGCAGGTGCCCTGAACTGACACTGGGTGGAGGGGGCTATGGAGGTGGGAGCCACAGTGGCCTTGGGAGGACGTGGTTGGGTCTCTTCCCGGCTCCCTTCTCCCCAGCCCTGGGGACCCCAGTCCCCTCTCAGCCGCAGCCCCTTTTCCACTCAGTAAAAAGGGCTGGCGAGGGGCCGGGTCTGGGCTGGCCAGGGGCTGCGCCGGACGGGGGCTCCGCAGGGGCTGTGGGGGATGGGACGAATGACAAAAGCTGCTCCCGGTAAACAGCTCCGACGGGAGCGCCATCGATCGATGGGGCTGTGAGGAGCTGTAATTAGATTGAACGCCGGCAAGGGCGGGGACAGCCGAGCCTCTTTCTGCTGTGATCGACAAAACGCGAAGTTTTTTCCCCCACTCTGCTGCGCCAACCCCTCCCCCAGCCTCTGCCTGGGGTCCCCATTAGGCACTGGATGGAGACAGGGGAGGTGGTGGGTAGGGACGACCCGCCTGTCCTCCCTCCTTGGAGGGTCCCCGGAGGCCTGGCTGGTTCCTGTACCGCCCCTGGCTGCACGCCCCGGGCCAGCGGCTCACCTTCAAGTCCAAGTGGAACTATGGTCACTAGAATGGAGTGATAGGATCCGTGCAGGGCGGGACACCACCGTCCTGTGGGCAGGATCCGGAGTACATTGCTGGGGAGTGATGGGTGAGGCACCAGGGTCAGAGGTGTGCAGAAAGGCCCCTGCACCTCAAAGCCCGGGCTGCGTTTCGACTCCTGCCCTAGGCTGGCTGCCTGAGCCTTGGTGTTCTCTGGTCCCTGGGGCCTTTACAGGGTAGCAAGCCCCCAAGAGGCTGGAGATCCCGAGTGGTTCCAGGCGCTTCTGTCCAGTGTTTTCTCTGCCTGTAAGAACCTGGAGGCGCCCTTGTTCCCCACGGGGTGACACACATAAGGCTGCCAGGGACAGTGCTCATCATGGAAACTCTGCCAAGTATTTTGCTGCTGGGGTGGGAACCTAGTCCCCCAGGCAGGCCTTACCCCTGAGTTACAGCCCTGGTCCCTGCCCTCTTTCCCTAGTCAACCACCCTCTGCCACACCCTCTGCCCACCTCTCAGTAGAGGTACAAATACAACCTTCTGCCTAAGTCAGCATTCAATAACTCACGTTATCAGGGTTTCTGTGCATGTTGCCCACAACTGAGCCGTGTAGAGTGCCAGGACTCCATTTCCCTGCTTGTGCAAATGTTACCTGCTCCAGGAGCTAACAGTCACCAGTTCTTCCCAGGCTCCTCCTCCACAGGACCTTCCTCCCTCATCCCCCCCCCCACCCCGGCTCCTGCTCTGGTCTGAGTGGGGAGACCCTTGTGGGTCAGGTGGGTGACAGCTTTGTCCAGTGGTCTTCCAGAGGGCGTCCTCATCCTTCAGAGAGCCCTTTCTCTCTCTCCTAGGCTGGATCACATTTCCTGAATTCCACATCTCCCTTTTTTGATTTACCTCCTCATTTGAATGGAGCCCAACTTCCAGTAGCTTTCTGAGGGAGGGTGTCTGACTCTACCTTTATTCTGCCTGCAGGCCTCAAGTTTGGAAATTTGGCAACTCGATTGGAATATATGAGTATTTTTTTCCTCAGAATTTTGGAAGCATATTTGTATGTGTGTGGATGCACACGCCTATATAAATAGACAATATAAATAGAAAATAGATAATGGATAAGCACTGCCTTTTAAAACCTTAAAATTAAATGAAACATCGGAGGCCTTGGGTTTGTGGCTCAGTGGGAGAGCACTTGCCACTGGGTTTGATTCTCACCACTGCAGGTGAATCAATGGATAAAACAAACGTTCATCAACATCTAAAAAAGAAATTTTTAAAAATAAATAAAATATTGGGGTTGGTTTTTAAAAATAATTTTGGAAGCCTTGCCCCCCGCTCTCGCTCTCCTAGTTTCTGAGAAGCCCACGGCCACTCTGATTCTCCAGCTTTGATGTGACTCCGGCTTCCTCTCTGGAAGCTTCCAGGGTCTCTCCTTTATTCCCAGGGCTCTGAGATTTCACGAGGATGAGTCTTGGCCAGTGCCTTTTCTCATTCATTGATGTGAATAACTGAGGGCCTCTTGGCCTTCAATCTGGAAGTAATTCTACGTTATTTGATCATCTCTTCCTCTGGTGTTGGATCCCTCTTGATCCAGTGACAAACCTGCTCCTCGTGACTCTGTCCTCCAACTTCGTGGTAATTGTCTCCTCCGTCACTGCATCTGCTCTATTCTGTTTTCTGGGACATTTGCTTGACTTTAGCATCCGATCTTCACATGAGATCATTCACTCCTGCCGTGCTGGGGATGCAGCTATAGCCCGGCTCCCTTTTTCATTTCCTTTTCTCTAATTGTCCTTTTTCTTTAGCAGCACCACATTCTTGTTTCATGAATACATTTCTCTCATCCCCTGACAATATTGATAGCTTTTCCTGTTTTGTTGATTTTTTTTCTGAAATTAACCATTTCTCTTGATACTCTCTCCATCTTCCCATTAGATGATTTTCTAAAATATCCAATAAACTGTGTCCATCTTGCTTAACCATAAAATCTGAAGCAGCCAATTAGAGACTTTGAGCATCTTCCTCAGAGGGAGAAGGAGAGTGAGATGTTGTCATTTCACACTCTAAATGGGCAAAACCCTGTCCCCAAAGAAATGAGTCACAGTGCAGGGAATATTCATTTAACTTACTTATTTGGTACCAGAGATTGAACCCAAGGGTGCTTAGCCACTGAGCCACATCCCCAGCCCTTTTTTATTTTGAGACAGGGCCTCACTAAGTTGCTTAGGGCCTCTCTAAGTTGCTGAGGCTGGCTTTGAACTCATGATCCTCCTGCCTCGGCCAGCTTTGCCGCTGGGATCACAGGCGTGCGCCACCACACCCAGTTTACCCGTTTATTTCCGAGGACATGGGTGGACATCTGGTCTGAAGTGTTCTGAAACCAAAAGCCTTGCTGTGCGCTCCCAGTGTGCCTTGGGGCTGGCACAGAGGCGGGCTGGCAGCAGGGACCCACGTACAGCCTCTGTCTCGGCACCTGGAGGGCAGTGCCTGGGAGCCGCGGAGGAGGCACTTGGGATGGGACAAACTCCACAAGGCGATTGTGATCAGGTTGAGGTTGAGGCCACAGCCACCCCAGCCCCTGTTGTGGGGAGCCAGTCCTGGTGGGTGGGTGATGCCTGCCCACCTGTCCTTTCAGTGGGTCCTGGTGGGGGCTTGCCGCTGAGGCTGGGGAGTGAGGCTCAGCTCCATGCTATTCCCCTTGCCCAGCCTCTGAGGGTGGTGGGGGCTGCTGGGGGCCTTCTCCCTGCAGAGAGGAAGAGAGGCCTGACCCTTGGGAGAGGGAGGGGTGCCCTGAACCCTCACTCCCCTCTCGGGGCCTCTGCTTTAGACCCTCTCACTGCAGAGGGCACTGGAGCAGGCCAGTCTAAGGAGGCCTCAGGGGCTCCTGTGGGAGGCGCTTGGATATCTGCTTTGGGCTGTGGGTGCCAATGGCTGCCTGGCACAGGGTCCCCAGGGCCATGGCTCTGGATGTTGGTTGCCTTTCACAGACGCTGGGTGGTGGGGTTTGCGGTGCGCCCAGGGCTGGCTGATTCACCACCTTCTCCACCCAGGTCTGCGTTGATTGAATAATCCACGGTGTAGTTTCTGTGGGTTCCGACATCCCCCAGGTTGGGGCTGCAGAGAGGAGGGGAAAGCCGGCCTTTGGGGGTTAGGGACGGGAATCTGCTGGAGAGGGAGGATGGGGGGGTTGGGGGCCAGAGGCTGGGGAGGGGCCGGAATGGGCCCAGGGAGGGGGATGGGAGCTGGCTGTGGAGAGTGCTCACTCTGTGACTCTTTGTCTCCCCACCTGCCTCCTGCCCCGCGACCCTCTGTCCTCACCTTCCTTTTCTGCGCTGTCCCTCCCGCTGCCCCTGTGGTCCTTCACCCTACCCCTTCTCTGGTCATCTTATGCTTCTCTGCCTTTTGGTTCCCTGCCGTCCCCCGCTCCCTGCTCTGCATCCCCTGCATCTGTCCTGGGTCCCCTTCCTCCCTGCTCTGTCCGACCCTACCGGCTCTGCCCTCCGGCCTGCACCCGCGGCCGCCGCGCGGTGGCGCTGTCCGCGGCCCTGCTCGCCCGCAGCCTGCAAGCGCAAGGAGCAGGAGCAGCAGAAGGAGCGCGCGCTGCAGCCCAAGAAGCAGCGCCTGGTGTTCACCGACCTGCAGCGGCGCACGCTGATCGCCATCTTCAAGGAGAACAAGCGGCCGTCGAAGGAGATGCAGGTCACCATCTCGCAGCAGCTCGGCCTGGAGCTCAACACCGTCAGCAACTTCTTCATGAACGCGCGGCGCCGCTGCATGAACCGCTGGGCGGAGGAGCCCGGCGCCGCCCCCGGGGGCCCTGCGGGGGCCGCCGCCACCTTCTCCAAGGCCTGAGGCTCCCTCCAGCCCGGGCGCTGCAGCGGTGCCGCGCGCCCCGCCCGGGAGGGACCGCACACCCCAGCCCGAGCGCACAAGGGCCCCCACCCCCACCCTGCCCAGCCGAGGAAGCCCCCCACCCCGAGGGGACGGCGGAAAGGAGCTCCCCGGGCCCCTCACCCAGGACGCCAGGGGCCTCCAGGAAAACCAGGCTCACTGTGTCGTTCCCTAAAGCGGGTCAAGAAGCACATACTAGAAATATAAACCGGGTATTTAAAAAAGGAATTTTAAGAATAACTAACCCTTTCGCCAGACCCCCGACCCACGGAGGAAGGCAGAAGGCCTGCCCGCCTTCCTCCCCAGCGCCTCCTGTCCCCTCCCCAAGAACTCGGCCCCCTGAAGTCGCCAAAACCCCCGTCAAGCTGGGTCCTTGCAGAGCCCCCTCCCCCCACGCCGACCCCCTCCGCTGGCAGGACGGCGCCCTCCTCCGAGAACCGAGCTGCCCTCCCAGCGGCCAGGACTTCTTGTGCCAAGAATTGCCTGCCTTAAAGCCCGGGGAGGGGGCCTGCGGGCCAGCGCCCTTCCCACCCCCACCCAGACCGCCGGGGTCCAGCTCCAACATGCGGGTAACTCCCAGACGCCTCCCTCCCCGCCCCCTTGGTTATTCACTTTATCTCCAGGCACCTTGACGAGTGGTACCCAGGGAAGGACAGAACCCAGAAACCAGGAGACGGCGCTGGATTCCACCAGCCCCGGCCCTCGGAGCACCCAGCTGCCCAGGCCTGGGCTGGCTCCTGACCCCTGGAATTCACCACCCCACCGCACCCCTGCCGCCTGGGGTGCAGAACTCATCCTGCAGGAGCCTGAGGTGGACTGCGCGATCGCCGCAGCTCTCCCCGAGGAGAGAAGGACAACTTTGAGGAAGTTGGAATCTGCTTGCTCCATTTTTTTGCCAAAAAAGAAAAAAAGAAAAAAAAATGCAGGGAGGAGGGTGAGAAATGAAGATGAGCACCCACCCATCCTGCTCATCCTGTCTCCTCTGGGTGACCTCCAGGACTGGCCAGCAGCTGGATCCCAGGACCCACCCCCCTGGGGTTCCAGATCCAGAAGCCAACCACCGGTCCCCTGGCCCCACCTGTGGGCTGCCTCCCAGGGAGGGCCCCCATTTCCCCTGGAGAACGCAAGAGACATTTCCAATGAACCCCCCCTAGGTAAAGGCTACCTCACTCAACCTTCAATCTGTGATTGGAAAAATCACGCCTGATACCAAAGATTCCCCCAAGGACTTGTGCTGGATGCTAGGGTCCCCCGCAGCCAGGGGCTGCCCTGCCCCCAGAGAGCGAGAGAACGAGGGAGAGAGGACAGCGAGGTCGATGAGTGCCTTTTTCTTGAACCAAAGATGTGTGTGGAGTGTCCTCTGTCCTTATCGACACGCTGTGCTCCCAGCTTACTAGCAACCCATCTGAAGGATGCTTCTAGAACCTTTGGGTGTTGGGGCAGAATCCCCAAAGTGAAAACTCCCCATATCCCCACTCACAAGGACATACACAGACATGCACAAACTCACACTGACACACACACACTGCCTCCTATGCCTCATGGTGGTCCCTGGGCACTGAATGCCATTCTGGGGGAGCACAGGCTCCCCACTAAGACCTGGGCCCCCTTTACCCCTTTCACCCCCCAATTTCTGATGGGCAGGTCTAGAGCTCCCTCCCCAGGCCTGGCCGCCTGGGGGTCCTCCGAGTCCCACAGGCCCAGGGCTGGCAAAACCCTTTTCATTGCTCTTAAGATCAGAAGCAAACTTTTAAGTTTTGCCAAGTGAGCGTGTCCCTCCCAGGCAGTGACCTGCCCAAGGGCAAGCCCTTCTGAGAACGCAGGGACTGGTGGCTCCTGCCTTCCTACCCCAGGGCCAGGGCCAGGGGCTTCCTGTGTCCTGTGGAAGGGGAGGCCTTGCCCAGAGGCGGTCCTCGATGTGGATCTTCTAGCCTGGACTTCCCTGATCAGGTCAGGTGAAGCCTCCTCAAAGCACCTGGGGCTCCTGGATCTCTTTTTCTCAGCAGTGGGGAAGGAGTCCAGAGCCTGGTGCCTGCTACGCAAGCCCTGGCCACTGCATTGCACCCCCAGTCCCCATGGACACACACACACACACACCACGCCCACACTGGCTCTTGTGCCCTGCCTGAGCTCGGCCAGCCCCTTTGCCGGGCCTGGACCCCAAATGTCTCCTACACCCACCTGATCATCCCATACCAAAGATCATTTTCCTTACAGGGAACCCGATCTCCAGCACAATTCCTTCAAGCCTTTGACAATTTTCTCTGAAATACCTCAAAATATTTAATGTATAGTTTATGTGATAAAAAAAAAATCCTTAGCTAGTTTTTGGAAAACGTGACTTGAAGCTTTATACCGTTAAATTATAATTTTGCAGACGATGGCATGTCGTTTCTTTGGCCCGTTCTGTGGGAGACGTATTGAATGTCAGGGCGGTGCAGCCGGTGGTCAGAGGGCGGGAGGGCAGGGCTGTGAGGCAGGGACCGGCGGTTGACAGACGCTCACCGAGATGAGTCTTTGGGAAAGAGAGAGGGTGTGCCAGGTGTACCTTTCTGATCTCTGGCTTGTTCTGTTTCTCGTTTTTTGGAGTCATGTCTTATAAGAGTATTTATTATTCTGTGTGTTCTGTGTTCAAATGTAATTTAAGAAAAAAGAGGAAGAAAAAAGAAAAAAAAGACAAAATGGAGTTTGATTTGATGCATGGCTAATGTTACTCTTTCTTGGCGATAATGTAATGAGCGGGGGGTGGGGGGCCGCAGCCGGGGTCACGTCCATCTTTGTATCCACGCCGCCATCTTTGCTCTGTGTTTCTGTTCCCCTTCTGAGGAGCCCCAGGGAGAGGAAAGAAGGTCCCAGAGCCAGCAGGGCTGGCCCTCGCGCCGCCCGCCTGCCCACCCGCAGGCCTTGGGTGCCCCTGGGTGTCAGCCCCCATCTTGCCCCCAGACCCCCCACCCAGCTGGTTTCACTTCCCTTGCATTTCCCAATGTCTTGTCACAGGAGAAGACCATCAAGTGCGGCCTCGTCACCCAGGGTGGGGGCTGGGTGCTCCCCATCTCCCCAGAGCCACAGGGCGCGATACCCCCACTCCACCAGACACTCAGCCTCCCTGGCCCTGGGTTGGACGGGAGCCCATCCCCTAGCCCACTCGGGGATCTGGAGGACCAGGAACGATGGCTCTGGGACCATGTCCCTCTGCCTGTGACTCGGCTACTACCTCGGGGCCAGGGGGCCAGGCTGCACTCCTGGGCGTGGCTGCACAGACCCTGCAGGACCGAAGGCCTCCTCTGCCCTGGAGAGGTGGGGTGGGGGCTCCTGGCCATTCTCCTTCTCAGCCCCAAGTGGTTTGACCAAAATCAGGACCCCAGGGCACGGGGCTGCTCCTGGGGACCCCATCAGCCCCTCAAGAGCTGTTTTTGGAGGGGTGCCTCAGCTGTGGGGGGAAGGAGGCCCCCAGAGCTTTTAATCAGGTTGGAAGGGGCTGCTGACAGGGGAGACCCTATTCAGATCATCCAGCGTCCCCTCTCCCCCAGTGCGGGAGGGACAGCAGCCCTCTCTACCCCCACCCTCAGCCACAGGCTTACAAGTCAAAAAACAAAAACAAAAAACCCTCCTCATTGTGAACCATTCTTGTGCTGGGTTTGTTTTGGTTTTTTCCTTCAATAAATTATTTTCTAGTCACTCACCTGGGTGTGTGTGCTGGCTGACTGCGGGGGCTGGGGGGAGGACGGGAGCCCACGGGGAGCCCCACCGGGAGGTGGGGGGACGGCCAGGGTTGGGGGTCTGCCTCTCCCTGGCTTGGCCTGGGGTCCTGGCCCAGCCTGCTCCTGGGCCACAGCAGCCTGGGGCCCACCCCACAGCCCTGCTGAAGCCAGATGGCCCCAGGGTGGGGGCCTTCCAGGTCCCCAGGAGAGGGCAGCGAGAGCCAGGAGAAGGGGCAGCCCAGAGGCAGGCCCCCTCCCCAGGTGGGGAAAGGAGTGAGCCCCAAGCAACCCTGGGGTCAGGGGGACCCTGGTTTATTAGAAAATGAAAAGCTGTGGCCCTGGTCATCAGAGGCAGGCTCCAGCTTGCTGGTGGCCTCTGCGGGGCAGCGAGTGGTCCTCTGGGGGCGGCTGCCCTGCTCAACCAGGTGGCGACTGGTTCTCGGGCAGCTCTGGCAGCCACTCCATGGGCGAGGGCTGCCTCTCCACAGGACCCCGCTCCACCTCCATGGGCTGCTCACTCGGGGGCGACCCCTCCAGGGTGGGCAGCAGAGCCTCTGCCGGGGGTGCGGGCGTCGGTGGGGGCAGTGGCGCCACCGCCTCCGTGGCAGGGTGGCGCTCCTTCTGCCAGACACCCGGCCAGCTCTCCCGGATCGGGGTCTGGACCGAGGGCGGCCGTGTCTCCAGGGGCTCCGGCTGGCTCTTCACCGTCTGGCCCGAAGGCAGAGGATGACTCGAGAAGAGCCGAGACTGACTTTCAGAAAGTGGCTTGTTTTCCTGGGTGGACCCCGGTGGCCTGCTCGTGGTGGCAGGTGACGTCTTGCTGACAGTGGAGCGGCTCTCTGAGGGAAACGCACCCGGCCCCTCTGCAGCCGCGGACGAGCTTGACCCACTCCAGGTCTGTGTGTCCTCCAAGGACGGCTTCCTGGGGCGCTGCAGACTCTTCCTCTTCGCGCCCGAGGCCCTCCGCGCGAGGCCGGGGGGCTGCTGGCAGCTCAGGGACACCTCCGCGTCCGAGGGGGCGGTGGAATCTGAGAGGTCCTCGCTGTCGCTCCTGGTGGACTTGCGCAGGCTCGTGCCCTGGGTGATGAGGTCCGCGTAGCCTTCGCGGTGGGAGAAGGCGTAGCTGGAGCGCCGTGAGGGGGTCCCCCTGCGCAGGGGAGGTGCGGCCTCCACGGTGACAATGTCCTCAGGCAGGGCCTCTTCTTCTGGCTGCAGAGCAAAGGGGCAGCACAGGGCACTCGGGCTGCCCCAGGCTGTTGACTGGCCTGAGGTCGCTGCCTCCTGGGGGCATTTACAGCCTTGGGTGTACGGGCCCTGGCCAGGTCCTTCCCTCCCGAAGGGAGCCCACCAGTGTCCTGCCGGAACCTGATTCTGGACCGACCCTGGACCTGCCTCACCTTACGAGGTGGCTTCTTGAGCGCTTGGTAGATGACCCGGAAGGCCAGGACGGGCAGCGTGCTCAGGGACACGTTCAGCAGGATCACCAGCAGGCTCAAGGGGTGGGCCAGCACGTTTTGGTCAGCATCTGGGCAGGGTGTGAGTCACGGCAGGGCCCGCGTGGTGCCCCCCCTCCCCTCCCCTCCCCTGCGGTCACCATGCACAAACTCCAGAGACTCAGCCCCTTTCTTGGGACCCTTCACTGGGTGACTTGTGGTCTTCCCACCCCCTTGCATAGCTGTCATCAAGGACCATCCCATGCCTGGGCCACCTTCCACACTGTGGGCACCCACATCACAACCCCTACTGGGGACTCACACAGAAATGGGAAGGCCTTGGGTGACATCTTCCAGAGCCACAAGCTCTGAGTGGCATATGTCATGATGACGTAGGAACCCAGGCTGAACAAAATGGTCAGCAGGCACAGAACTGTCCAGTACCTGATGATCAGGATGACCTGGACAGGGAAGGGTGCAGCTGAGGACCAGGAGGCCAGATCCCCCTGTGGGGCCCCTGAAGCAGAGGCCAGGGGGACGAGGGCCCGGGGCTGCCTACCTCCAGGGTGATGGACAGCAACCCTGACAGGGCCAGAATGACGGCAAAGGACTGGTAGTCACTGAAGCTGGAGGGTCCCACCGAGTCGTGGCCAACCCAGAGTGTCACAAAGAAGTTGACCAGGGAGGTGGCCATGCCGTGGGCAATGGCTTGGAAGAACACCCAGTAGTTGAAGAGCTCGTTCTCCTGGCCTGCGGTGTACAGCTCGGGCATCTGCAGGCTCTTCTCGGCGGTCACATCCTAGGGGTGGAGGCTCGTGGGCCAGGGCGGGGGCAGAAGGACCCAAGGGCACAGACCCCCCACTAGCCACTGGTCACGCAGGGTTCCCACGAGGAGGCTCTGTGGGGTGTGGGGTGCTGTCAAGAGGCCCCTTTGAGGACTCCCCATGAGACGGGGCTCAGCCCCTGCCACTGGGACCCTGGGCCTGGCTTGTGGCCCCCAGCCTGGCCCCGGCCCTCGGCTGGAGAAGGCCCACCTCTCACCTGCTCGAAGAGCCCGATGTAGAGGACCGGCACGGTGCTGTAGAGCAGGTTGAAGAGCGCCAGGAACCAGCCTTCGTACAGGGGCTGTGCCGGGAGCGTGGGGGGACAGGGTGGCCTTCAGATGCCCCATGGCCAGGGGCCTAGGCACATCTGGGCCCCAGGAGCCCCACCAAGCTGGCCAGGCACTTGGGGGAGGGGTCCAGGCCAAAATTGGATCTACTACTGGACCAGGACGGGGCTGAGAGGACGGGGAAGGCTGGAGCGCGGAAGGTGGGGAAGGCGGCCTCTGTAGGAAGCACTTCCGGTCTGTGCCTTAATGGAGGCCCCCTAAAGAGCGGCAGGTGGACCGGCTGGAGAGCAGGATCTGCAAGCAGTTCTCAATTCACAGCACCTTAGCTTTAGGGGACCCCTGAGGGGTGCAGAGTGGAAGAGCCCCAGGGACAGCAGCCCAGACCCCTCCCAGGTGGAAACACTGTGGAGATTGACAGACAGACAGACTGATAAGATAGTAGGTGGGCAACAGACCCAGGACTGGTAGAGATGATGAGTGGCAGACAAGAGAGGAGACAACAGAGATGACAGGCAGATATGACAGCTAGGGAGGGTGGGGAGAGGCACAGATGTGGTGGGTCCAGAGACACACCAGTCCGTCTGTGCACGTCTCTAGCTCTGCTTTCTGAAAGGGTAAGAGCGTCCCAGAGGCTCTGAGCCCCCACCACCTCAGACCGTGGGGTCTAACTTCCACTCACTAATGAAGAAACAAGGCTCCTTGAGGCTGTGGCTGATTCCAGGCCTGGGGAAGGGGACGCGCAAGGGTGCTTCTGGGGAGCTCCCTCTCAGATGCCCGGGACTAGTGACGGGCAGCTCCCTACCTCTGGAAAAGTGGAATTCCAAGCCATTTCCTTACACTAAGGGAAAACCGTGCCCTATGTCTCCTCTCAGCCCTGAAGAACACATCCAGTCTACACTGCCTCACCAGTGAGCGGCTAGGAGTCAGGGACCCAGCTCCCACCATCACCTCCTCTGGGGTTCCGTCCCCTCCATGGCCCCAGGGGAAGTGCGTTTGGAGCACGCCTTCGCTTCACAGCATTCACTCACCAAAGGACCCTGGACACGTCAGGCACACAGCATGTGCCAGTGTGACCTCAGGCCAGCCTTGCCCAGGGGGGAGCCCCAGCATTCTGTGTGGGCCCACCTGCTGCTCCTGAGGGGAGACTATTCCCACTGATGCCCACCTGGGCAGTGAAGCCGTTGTAGAAAGAGAACCAGATCTGAGCCATCATGCTGGCCACCGTCTTGTAGAAGAAGTACCGCAGGAACTTGCAGACCCGCATGTAGGACCAACGCCCGTGCACCAACAGCAACCGCTGCAGGAAGCGGAACTGGGCCAGCGCATAGTCACTATTCTGAACCGCCTGCATGCCCTCCTGACCCGACAGCCCCACGCCGATGTCCGCAGCTGCAGGGCACATGCAGCTGGTCAGCCCACAGCCACCCAACCAGCTTGCCAGGCCCCCAGCACCCCCAGGCCCCCCACCTCATCCCTGCTGCCCACCACCCACTCTTTATCATGTTGACGTCGTTGGCACCGTCCCCGATGGCCAGGGTCACCACGTGCTGGTATTTCTTGACCAGCGCCACTATCAGAGCCTTCTGCTTAGGCGTCACCCGGCAGCAGATGACCGTCTGGCACCTGGTGGCCAGGTCCACAAAGGCCCGCTCCCGAAGCACCTCGGGGCTGTTTGGGGTCTTTGTAGTATTGGACTCGGAAGAGGCCACGGAGGTCCCGAAGCTCCGCCACATGAGGGATATCCGCCTGGCCTGAAGGTAGTCCCTCTTCACCTGGCCAGAATCCGGGGTGGCCTCATCCACCACCACGTTCTGGACCAGAGCCCGGGGCTCTTTGCGCAAGGATAGCAGCAGCTTGTCCTGGCACAGGGGGAAGGGGGGCATCATTCTGCCTGCTCCGGGCTCTCTATGCTCAGCCCCTGTCCAATAGCCTTCCCAGAATGCCCTCCGAGATCCCGGTATCGCCATCCCTGGCTGGACCTGCTCTGGCCTCCTCCGTGCCATCTCTCTCTGTTTTCATTGGAGGTCCTGACTAGCCTCCTCTGGGAGCTCTTTGGGGTGCCCACCACCAGCCTGCAGTTCCCCCAGGCTCCTCCCCCATACTAAGACTCTCACTGCCCACCCCAAGTGGACACTGACCAGGAAGTCCCCGTTAATGATCATGGCCAGCTTGACCTGTGACACGAACTTCAGGTAGCCCTTGTTGGTCTGCATGTTGTTGTTGCTCTCCCAGTAGGTCTCCAGGACGCGGCTGAGGGGCAGCTGGGGTCAGCTCGGGCCTCCCTCGCCCCTCCCTCCAGGGCCTCCCTCCCACCTCGCCCGCCCAGCCTGGCGCTCACTTTATCTCCTTCTCCTCCAGAATGAGCATCTTCTCCGACAGCAGCTGGCAGGCGAAGCCGATGTTCACCGCTGTCTCTGCGAACCAGCCCTGCTCAGCG